TCTCTCTCTCTCTCTCTCTCTCTCTCTCTCTCTCTCTCTCTCTCTCTCTCTCTCTCTCCCTCTTTTCCCCTTTTGTGGATATCTTCTCGATGCCCTTAACGCCCTGCCCCACCGCAGTTCTTTAGTGGGAATGGGGGTAGCTGGAAGGTCCTCAGGAAATGAGCACTGAGTCGGTCCCCCCCCCCGCCCCCGTCCCCCGCAAAGTCTGGAACCCGGAAACTCTCTGCCACCCTCAGGTCCAGAGTCCCTCCCAGAGCCTGTTATTCCCAGGCTGGGTGCTCTTCTTCTCCACTCTTGGCCTAGGGTGACCACTGCGGAGGAGCAGAGGAAGGGCTTCAGGGAAGTGGTGAAGACTGAGACGTGTTTCTCCTTTGTCACTTTATTTGGCGAACCACGTAGTAGCATCACAGCATCCTGCCAGTAGGCAGCTCGGAGAAGGTGCAGCCATCCCAGGGCCTCCATCCCCCTAGTAGAAAGGAAGCTTCAAGGCTTTTATGGTGCTGCCTAGAGTGAGAAAGAGGTAGCTTCCAGGGGGTGGGGGAGAGGAGGTTTGGGACATATTTTCTTCATTCAGTTACAATTTTTAAGACCTCATAGAAACCACCAGCTACATTAGATGCGGGTCTGCGATTAGACGCGCCATTAGCAATGGGTTTTATTTGTCCAGGAGCTGAGAGAGGCCCCGCTGACCTCCCCCCTCCCCAGTTGTTTTACGGGTGTCCTTTACCTATGTACCTAGCAAGACTGGGGCGCTCTCGACTGCCTTCTTGCAGCATCCTGTGTGTTTCTGATGAAATCCAAATTTTTGCTGCTAGACCTGAAATTTGCTCCATTGTTCTCGCCTCCCTCCTTTGTTAATATTTAATTAACATATAGGCTCACAAAGCCGACTGGCCTTGAGTCGCGGTCGGCTTTGTGCGGCGACAGCGCGCGAGTCCCGGCCGCGCCAAGCCCTGGCGGCCCGCGGATCCTGCAGCATGGCCCGCGTGGCTCGTCTCGCAGTTTTCCTAGGCTTAACGAACCCCCTTCCCTGTAAGTAATATTTCTTTCCTGGGCGTTTAAGAAAGAAAGCAGGGGCAGAAGGTACTTGCTGAGGTTTGACTTTGTTTCCCTGAGTCCCCTAAGAGTTTGCCTTTTAAAAGAGAATTCACAGGAAGAGGAACCGAAAGTACGGTCTTAAGGAGACGTTCTTTCTCTGAAATAAGAATTATCAGAGACTGGAGTGTGCGTTATAGAACACGAACCTCGGGGTGGAGGAGGCTGGAACACAGAGATCTGGTTCTTCCCGGGGAGGGAACGAGGAGAGTCTGAGATCCGCTCCAGAAGTGGGAGGTCAGGGCTGAGTAGGCCAGGCCTCTTCCATGTTCAGCCTCCTGTCCTAGTATCTTTGAGGGTCCCAGGGTCCGTCCATGGCCCTAGAAGGCTCACTGACCGGGTAAAAGCCAGGTCCAAGGGCGCCGAGCCCTGCTCCCTTGCCCTCAGCATGGATGCAAAGGTGACTGTGTAGCATGGCAGGTGTGTGTGACCATGGATACACCCCCCAAACACCAGGAGTTGGATCTGCACCGCCCTGGATCTCCTCTGGTGCTCACAGACCCTTTTGGGTCTGCCCTGTGACGAGAGCAGCCAGATCCCACTTGGCTGGTAGTGAGGGAGTCCTCACCGGCCCTGACTCTGCCGGCTGCCCCTGACGCCTGCATGGGCACCACTCTGGATAGCGGGTGGATGTACTACGCAGTCGGTTCCCTTCGCCACCCCCGCAGCGCAGGGCAGAACATTCAGTCCCTGGCCCTGAAGGGGGGAGGGTCCGGCCCTTTCCAACCTCTTCCGCTTCCAGCGGAAGGGGCCTCCGTGAAGGGACGGCAGAGCGCCTCGAAAGTTGATTCATGCTCCTTGCATAGAGGAAGAAAGAAAGTCTCTGCTTCTAGCCGGTGGCCTGCTGGCCTTTCCTGCACCCTGTGAACCTTCTGATCCCGACAAAGAGAACCCTCTATCCCAACACTCTTAACACTTCAGCATTTCCCTCGGGTGCCTAGGTCCTGGGACCTTACCACCCACCACACTGGCCTCAAACCCGGCCACTCCACAGGGAAAAGGGTTGGGACCAGTAGTGAGACCCTTCGTGAGGAAGCTGTAGAAAGGGTCACTATATGTTCTTCCTCAAGGTCAGTAGAGTGGCCTGTTTCTGCTGAAGCAGCCTCGGGCCTGGGGTGGGCAGCCAGAGGGACAAACCTCCCTGGTCAGCCCCTGGCCGGGGAACCAGGGTCCTGTCCTCAGTGGAAGGACTGAAGGGGGGATGCCAGAGGCTCAGGAAAGGATGTGGTGCTCCATTAGAGCCCTTCAGGGAAACAGTGAACTTGGGCTCATCAGGCCACACAAGAGGGGGCTCCGGTGAGGGCTCGGCCCTGAACTCTCTTTGTGAACCTCGCTGCCTTTGGCGCCCCTTTGGAGGTTATGGAGGGAAGGGGACAGAACCCCCACCCCACGCCTGACTGACTAGCCTACCCTCCTCTTCAATCTCACCCCATCTCCTTTCTCCTCTGAACTACCCCATCCTCCTGGCTGGGACAGCCTTGGGAAGAGAGGAGAGAAAAGCAAACGCTAACAAACAAGGCCAGAAAGTTTTTAGTTGGGCATTCCTTCTTCAGTTATCGTTTATTAGGACCCCCTAGTTTGCCATAGGCCTTTTAGCTAAATCTGCCAATCCATTTCATTTCCATTCCCGCCCCCACCCCCACACCCCACTTTCCTTCCGGACAGTGGGAGCATGCCCAGCCTCAAGTTTACCACACACACACACACACACACACATTCACAACCCACACTGTTCAGCCTTGTGTGGCCTTGGGCGAGTAATTTTCCTCTGGAGTCTCTGGAACCTCTCAAGCTTGGGTGCGGGGTGTGTGTGTGTGTGTGTGTGTGTGTGTGTGTGTGTGTGTCGGTCTGTCTGTCTGTCTGTCTGTCTGCCAGGGCTGCGGGTAAGCAGGTAGGCTCCAGCAGCCAGTAATCTCTGCCCTCTCTCCTACAGGTCCCAGGTCCCGAAAACCAAAGAAGAAGAACCCGAACAAAGAGGACAAGCGGCCCCGCACGGCCTTCACCGCCGAGCAGCTGCAGAGGCTCAAGGCGGAGTTTCAGACCAACAGGTACCTGACCGAGCAGCGGCGCCAGAGCCTGGCGCAGGAGCTCAGCCTCAACGAGTCTCAGATCAAGATCTGGTTCCAGAACAAGCGGGCCAAAATCAAGAAAGCCACAGGCAACAAGAACACTCTGGCAGTGCACCTCATGGCCCAGGGCCTGTACAACCACTCCACCACAGCCAAGGAGGGCAAGTCGGACAGCGAGTAGGGCGAGCCAGCAGGGCGGGCGGTCCAGGGCCGCGCGAAACAATGCAATAATTTAAAAACCGTGAACAAAGGGCCAGTGTATAAAGATTATACCAGCATTATCTGTGAAAATCCCGTGTATTAGCTATGGTTCTACAACAATCTATGTACATATAATTTACAGGTGGTGTAAAATCCAAAATATCTGACTATAAAATATTTTTGAGTTTTTTTTTGTGTTTAAGAGGTTATGCTAATTTTATGTTATTATTATTCTCTCTGCAAAGGGGGCTGTTTAGGGTTTCAGCTTTTTCTTTTTCTTTTTTCTTTTTTAATCCCTTAAGCTCCATCGGACACTTTTTTTTTTTTTCGAAAGAAAAAAATTAAAACAACTTGCTAAAGTCCAAAGATTTTTATTGCTGCATTTCACAGGACTGTGAACCGAATAAATAGCTCCTATTTGGTCTGTGGGCTCTGCCGCTTGCTTCGTGCTGGCTTGGGAGCGCTGTAGGAAGGGCCAGCCTGGGGATGGAGAGCTCTGGGCTTCCGTGGGGAGAGAGGACACAGTTTTTTGGCTGGGGTCCGGGGAAGTCCGCGCAGGCCCACAGCTCTCCAGGCACCTCTCCATGCTGCCTCCTACCGCCTCTCCTCCCAACCACCTCAGAGGCCGGCGCTGGCCACCACCGTTTGTCTGCATCTGTGTCGCTGACCCCTGTCCTGCCACAGCCCCGTAGCCACCTGCCAGCACCAACTCTTCCACCTTGAACACTGTGGGTAGCGCTTGGGGTCTAGGAAGAAGGGGAACTGTGATCTGAAGGCTCGAAGGCTTCGCTGCTGCGCGGACAGCTAGCCGTGACCCAAAAGCCCTACCGAGATCAGCTCCAGGGCCTGGCAGAGCGAGTTGGTATGTCTTCCTTTCCTTTTTCCTCCCTTTTTCTTTCTCACTTGTTTTTGAGTGGTGAATACATGTATGTGTACATACTCGTGTATGCATGTGCACGCACACCCCAGGCCTGCGTGAAGCTGGGGTTCTGGAGCTTGCAGCTACCTTGACTCTCAAAGGAACTCGGAACCCTCCTGAATCTAGAGGAAGTGTGTAAATAATCATTTCTTATCACTTTTTGTCTTTTGTTGTTTTTTTTTTTAAAGAAAATATACATTTTATTTTTTGAAGGTGTGGTACTGTGTAAATTAAATATATTCAATATATCCCTCACCAAGTACATATATATATATAAGCAAACACATTATATATAACTCCACACTGTCTTCTGTTTAGTGTATGGGAAAAGGTGTCCAAATGCCCACCTGGGGCCAGCACAGTGGCCCAGGGGTGTTCTCGGCTGAGCTGGGAGTCAAGCTGCCTGCTGAGGACTGACGGTGGATTTCTCTCTTTGCCTTAAACCTCTTTATTTCACTGCGCCAATACTTTCACTTTGTACATATTAGTGCCAACCTTCTGAAAAGGAAGCTATAAAAACAAAAGTTGTAATTTAAAAGTCTGTGAACAACCATTTGCTGCTTGAGAATTGGTGAAACGACATGCCTTTTAGCAGGAAGCAAATCTGTCCTTTTTTAAGTTTATAAGATGTGCATTTTACAGTATCAAATATTTATAATCTTATGAGAAATGGATGAATGTTCCCTACTCACAACTGTGGTTATCAAAATTGTGAACATTCCCACCCGTGCATTTTTTGTGTGTTTAAATTCTTGAAAGTTACATTAAATAAAAAGAAACGACTCTTTATTATAAAATGTTGGCAGTGGAAGGTGGACTTTTTCCATGCTTCTGTCTGAGCTCAGGAACCACTCTGAGGCAGTCTCCCCCACGTCCAGGTGCTGCACCTAATCTTGAAACAAGAGGAGATCGTTTCTTTTAAATACTGGCCTTGGAATATCTAGCATGTAAACACAGAACAGAGGAAATAATTTCCGTCCCCATTAGTCTCCTGAAGGAATGAGTCAAAGTATGCTGCTTCCACTCACTGGAGTTTCTCCAGTATGGAAAATCTAACAGGTTTCCCCACCCCTCCCCACTGGATGCATGCTGGATGCAGGCGCTCACTGCTGGCTGGGTGGAAGAACTTGTCCAGGAGATAAATGCTACTTCTGTTTCCCCTACCTCCAACCCCCAAAGCAAAGGACATCTCCTGCTTGATTCAGAGGGGCGGGGGTGGGGGGTGGGGGGGCAGTGCTCTGGAGTGGCTGGCTCTGAGGCAGGGTGTCCTGCGGTTCGTGAAGCCAAACTGCTGTATTTCCAAACTTTCTTGGCTTGAAAGAGAGATGTTTTGTTTTGTTTTGTTTTCCCAGGAAGAGAAACTCAGTGTCAAGGATTGTTTGTTGCCAAGGGCGACCTTCTAGGCAGTTTGAGTAAGACACTGGCCACTGGGCCATCAGGGATTCCCAGGCAGATGCTGGACCACAGCTCCTGCCACTCAAGGGACCTTCAAGGAATAGGGTTGGGCCCACTTCGGGGGCACCAAAGCGAACAAGCCAGGGTCCCCGTTTTCTACACACCTCTGAGAGTTTAGCTTCAAAACACTGGCACAATTTACATTAATCTGTTGGCCTCCCTCCATTTTAATAAGAACATAGCAACGTCCATCTATTTTCAAATCGGAACACTGTTGGGGAGGGCGTACAACGTCCTGAAGTAATGAGCTCCCAGGTCCCACAGGCAGCCAAGCAGACGCCAGCCTGCCAATAATGCCAGGTTTTTGGGATTTTTTTTTTTTAACTTTGTTTTGTCTGTGATAGGGGACTGAACTGGAAGGGCTTCAGATCCTTGGGTTACTGCTGGCTTTGGGCGGTGTTCCTCTCTTCTTTTTCTTCAAATGCAAGTTACCGGAGATGGTGAGTCATGCTGAGCCTGAGCTGTGCCAGCTTGATCTCTCACCTGGAGGAAGCCCAAAACAAAACAAAACAAAAAACAAAACAGCAACAACAAAAGAAAAAACAGTTCCCACCAGCCAGGAGGATAAAGCACCTTCCTAGGTATTGCAGATCCTCAGATTCTGACCCCGCCTCTGCAGAGCTGTGTGCTTTGGAGATGATCACCCAATGAAGACACCAGAGCATCAGGGCGCCAGGCCACTCAGTTCTGGCTAGAAAGTCACCCTGCAGGAGGTGGGAATCCCAAGTAGGAGAGGGAAGTTCGTTTGTGAAGAAATCCTTGCCTTTTGGATCTCAATCACTCTCCTGCCCCCGGCCTTGGTATGTCCCAGCCTCATCCAAGCCAGCTCCTTCTACAGTTCTCCACAACCCACTGAAACGGGGTGAGCCCCGCAATTCAACCCAGAGAGAGCTGTGGCCTGCAGGCCCCACGAGTTGGCCCCCAGCAATGGTGCTGACTGAAAAAGCCCAGCCTGACACTCATATGAGATGCTCTTGCCGACCTAGTTCTGGGGGTCAGTCAGAACCTGGGGATCCACTCTGCCCAAAGTCTGTCCAGTGTGGACTTGGCTCCAGCTTCCTTTTAAGGAGGGGGAGGAAGGAGACTCCTCGGTGACCTCCAACTTGATCTCACAGAGTTCCAATGCTGTGTGTTTTTTGTTTTTTTTTTTCTTGAGTGGACAGGACAAATGTAGGGGGACTCTGGCCGCCTGACGCTGGTGGAACTGGTACACACCACAAATACCCAAACCCCATGTCTGCCTTGAGTACCCCAGTTCCTGTCTGCCTTGAGCTAAGGCTGGAAGATAGAGTTTTTGGCAGTCCTCTGTGAAAAGTCATTCTGTCCCCTGCTGGTTTAATATCCGACCTCTGTGGTCTCCTTTTGGCTAGGCCCTTCCCTTACAGCCCCGGGGTGAGTCCCGGCTCCACCGAAAACTGCAGCCTGCCAGGAGGAGCCGCCACACACTGAGAGGTTAATAAGGACTGACGCAGACACAGGGCCATGGCACCACCCCTGAAGGCATGGATTGCGCCAGCGAGGCAGAAATCGCCCTCCGGAGACTGATCTACCCCCACCCCTGAGCTCCCTACGCGGGGCCTCGGGGCTGGAAACCCCTTCTTTGCGTCTTGGTTCCATCCCGGCGGAGGGCTAGCTGTGTCTGGGCCTAGAAGGAGGGGAGTCAGGGAGCCACAGAGGGGTGCAGCGTTGGGTTCCTCCTCGGACTCTAAGGCAGCTCCGGGCGCGGCGGGGAGCGCTGGTGCGCGCATTTGCAAGCAAAGCCGGACCGCCTCCCAGTTGCACGACTGGAACCCTGAGTAGACCATGCCTGTTTTTTATTAATAACCTCAAATACCTCATTATGCTTATGCTGCCTGCCCATGGAAAAGAAAAGGGCATTCTTGAAATCGCCGGAAATGTAATAATATTCATTAAAGTCGTTCCTAATTATATGATTTAATCAAGCGTGGTGGGCCTGCGCTTTGCTCTTGCCTGCAAGAAAACCGAGGATGGTGTTACTATTGTTAGTGTTGGTATGGCCTCGTCCTGGCTGCCAGTAAGACTTCCAGCTCTTCAGCTGAGGCTCAGTCCCCTCAGATGAATTTAGGGGCGCTCCCCTGAAGGCAGGGTTCCCCTGGAAAGACTGCCTAGTTGTGAGTACGAGGTAAGGTTCAGGCCTAGTCCCAAGCAAGGCCTAAGCTATTCCCGGAGCTGGGCAGGATTTCTACTGGCCCTAGGGACCATCTGTGTTCCCGGGGGAACACCGGGGAGGCTTTCTGGGAAAACAGAACTTCGGGTCCCGCCCCCTCCAGGGCTGAGTCCCGCGCAGCGCCTGGAGCAGAAACAAAGAGTGATGGAGAGAGATCTGCCTCCCGGCTGCCTTTTTACCCCCTCAGCCTGGAAGGCGTCCCAGAGAACCCTTTCCCCCGGCCCCCACCCCCAAGACACAGAGGAATGGGGAGCCGTGCCCTGCGCCACTTGTTCTTTAGAGACGGGGTTAGATGGGCAGCTCAGACAGGAAGGACAGGGTCCCACCCAGCCTCGGATCCTCTGTGGGGGCTAGAAAAGGTGGCCCTGTTTGGTCGCTGATGGCAGGACCGTCTCGGGGAAAGAAAAACAGGCCTGGCCGCTGCTTGCTGTTTGACTCATCAGTCCAGACGTGAAACTTGGCCGCGTGGTCCCAGCGCGCTGCCTGCGGAAGGGGCCGACTTCGCTTCTTTCAGCTGGCGCGTTGGGGTTCTCGCCTCCCGCCAAGTCCTTTGTCTGGATGGGGGCTGTCAGGCTCTGTCATCGTGGCTTGCCCTCCTCCTTTCCCCAACCTCTACCCCCTCCACTAACTTCCTTTTCTCTTTTCTCTCCTCCTTGGATGGATAGTCAAAGGCCCCAGCTGCAGCACAAGGCGCATCTGCCCCTCCTGTTGCGACTGCCCGCTTCCCCGCGGGCCGCTAGGACATCCCTTGGTGCCCAGGGTTTTGCTTCTGGGCTTCTCCTCTAGACCAAAACTTGTCTCATGGTTTTGGGGAGCTTTGCTCTCCACTCTCAGCAACAGCAGTACACCGAATTAAGGA